TTCCTACTAATATTTGAATCAAAGAGATCAGTTCTATTACAGAACATTTTAAAAAATAGAACCCCACTTTAAAATATATTTCATAATTTGTTAAAATTTATTGCATGCATCCTTCGATAAAGAAATGTTTAAAAGATACATAAATGTTATAAGTAAAATACAGTATAATTTGGATTTAAATATATTGCATAATTGAGATGCAACTCATGAATGAAAATTGAGTGAAAATTTAGAGCTATTTTATGTTCTGCCCATCTTTCATCTTACTTTAGTGGTATCACAGGAAGCTGTTCTAATATCTAAATATTTTGGAAAGTATGGCCAGCCTATGTCTTGACTTTCAACTTTTCCTCAGAGTTGACTGAATTTCATGTTACTTAGGGTAGGTACTGATTAATATGAAAACCTGAAGAATTATTGCTTTTTATGATGTAATAATACATATAGTGTGGTAAGACAGAAGATCTCTTACACTTCTTTCTATCCAAAGAAGAGGAATATGCCCCTTTCTTATTAAGGAACATTGAACATAACAAACAGAACACAGGCGAAGAAAGGAACAAAATAAAAAACAAAAATTGAGAGAGAAAAGAATATAAGAAATAAAAACTTACTAATAAGGTATTAACCCCATTCCATGCTAAATCACACAACCAGCATTTATAGAATGTCTATTTCCTGTCTTCTAATTCCTCAAATATGCTACACTTCTTTCCTATTTGTGTCATTGCACATAGAACCCTAAGATGGAGAAATCCTCCCTTTCAGGAAAAATTCAGAAGAGTGTCACCTTTTCAGAATACTATCAATAAATAGGCTTTAATCTTTTCTAGTATAATTTGAACTATCACAATAAATATTTCTTCAATTATTTGGGGGTACTAAATAATCTTTGGATACAAATATATTTTGTGGTTGTTCACTGAATACTCAAAAAATTGTACATAAATCCAACATATATTGAATCATATATAATTTATGTATTTGGAAATATTTATTCTATTTGAATTTGTAACTAAGCATTTTTCTTCACATATTCTGAGGAAGAGTTTCATGTTCTACTCATTTAAGCTATATTTTAAGCACAGAAGAACAGATTTCCAGAATGTTGCTGTGAAGGGAAAAACTATGTTTATTGTAATTCTTCCTTCTTAGTTTTTTGCTCTAAAGTATTTTGTCTAAATGCTAAAATGTAGAATGACCTGAAAGGGAGAATTATTAAAAAGAAAGAAAGAAAAAAACCAGCCAGGATTGCTTACTCAAAGATGCACAGAATATAATATGAGGTCATGTGGCATCAATGTCAGTGACTGGGAGAAGTAACAGGAGACAGGTTTGGAATGAAGAAATGGGCAGCGGTACAATACATTGGAAGGAAAATATTGATACGTCTGCATCAGTAAGAAGCACCCTTGTTGGAGTCAGAGAGAGGCTCTACTGGCAGAGTCCAAAATAACAACTTGTCAAATAGCTCACAAGTGTGTTAGAAAGAAGAGGCAGCCAGTCATTGCGTATTTTATCACAGTTGTACACACAAGGTATAATACTAGCAGCCAGAACCATCAGTATGAAGGATGAATGCATATTTAAAATATAAATAAAATTGCACATTCACGTAAAGATACATGAAATCTCCAGCTTCAGCAAGCTCAGTTGATGTTTCCTTAGATTTTTAATCTAACATACCCCTGGTATTTTAGGATGTGGCACTAGATGAATAATCCCTATAAGTTCCAGTATCTATGACTACTGGCCTAATGTTCAATTAATATTAATTAAATAAATGAACATTGCATCATACATGTTAACTAGCAGGCAATTCTTTAAATTCTGAGGTTAGAAGAAAAAGGGAACGAATAAAATTTTGCATGATGTGTCTCTTCAACCATTTTAATATTTTTATGCATAAAATTAAGTAGTGATTGTAGAAGATATTTTGAATATAATGAGACATTAGATTCTGCTGCTCTTAAAAGAAACTAAAAATCATTTTGGTGTTACTATTGCTTATGAAAGTAATAAAGTGTTTTGAACCATTTTGTACATAGTGTTGATGATAGAGAAAAGAAAAATGAAAAGGTTAAGTGGTAATACATGAAATGCTGTATTTCATCATGATCATTATTGTCATCATTGTCAGTGCCAAACGCAGGGTGAAACAATTGTACAATAATGTCCAAGATTCCTGACAGGAGGAAATATGTAGATGATAACTGGTTATCAACAATTGTAAAATACTCTAAGCATAGGGCCATATGTTTGAATCTAGACCTTGCCAGCTTACAAGGATGGTGTTGAAGAACAAGGAAACAATAAGAACCTTTTGTTTTCTTGTGAGATCAAAAAGAAGATACTGGAGATAAAATACTGATTACTGATGAGTCAGGCATGCTGCCATTTTTCAATACATGGAAATTCTCAAGCCATGTAGTGTGAAGACTTAAAGAAAGCTGCATAAATATTCTAATAAGCAAACCAAAGCTTGGTCAAAAGAAAAATTGTTGGATATCAGAGCTTGCAAAAAGCAATATAAGGCAGTGTTAGCAGACCTGCGACCCATGTGCAGCAGCAAGCTGTTTGTGTCACTGAAAGCTCTAAGATGTTCACCATCACTGGCACAGGGGTAAACCTCCATAAAATGACTGTTAAAAGAAAACAAGAGGTGACAAGAGTTGGCCAGGATATGGAAGAAAGAGAAGGTTTGTGCATTATTGTTAAGAATGAAAATTGGCACACTACTAAGGAAAACAGGGTTGAGGTTCTTTAAATAAATAAAAATAAATATACCATTTTGCTCTGCAACCCTTGGATATATATCCCAAAGGAAAAGAAAAGAACTGTAAGAGATAATTACATTCTTATATTTATGACATAATCATTAACAAAAGCCAAGACATGGTAAAAACCTAAGAATCCATAGAAAAATAAATGTAAAAAGAAGTCACACACATACACACAAAGAGAAATATTATATATTGTTTGGGCATAAAAATAGGGGAATCCTGTGATTTTTTTAACCATGTGGATGAAATCTGAATATAATATAGTAAATGAAATAAGTGAAAAAGGAAAAATAATTTATGCTCATTAAAATGTGAAATGAATGAGTAAACCAACTTTATTGTGATAATTATTACACAGTTTGCTAATGCCCCCTTATCTGTAGTTTTGCTGTTTGTTTTTAGTTGCTGCAGAAGGCAATTGTACAAAAATACTAAATAGAAAACTTCAGATATAAAAATTAATGTTTCAAAAACTCTTCTTATAGTAGATAATTATTTAATTTTATTATTAATATTGTTGCTAATCTCTTACTCTGATTAACTTAACTAAAATTTATTGTAGGTATGTACATATAGGAAAAAATAATATATATGTTTCAGTACTCTCTGTATTTTTAGCCATTGACTGAGGGTGCTGAAACACATCCCAGATGAAAGGTCTACTATATATACATATCTCAAATCATCCCACTGTATGTGTGTTTGTGTGTGTGCATATATATATATATACATATACATATATATGCATATATAATTTATATTTCTATTATACCCTAATAAACAGGAGAGAACTGGTACATTAAAAAATATATTGACAGAACTTTATGAAAAGTCTTGCCAATCTTACCTGTTTCCAATTAAATTAACATGATTGATTGTCCCCTAATGTTTCTACCTATCAATGAATGTTGCGAATTCTCAAGGATACAAGATTTTTAAATACTGTGAGAAACATTTAGGATTCAAAGACAACTTTCCAGGAATATTGAGTCATGTCTATGTAGCAGAAGCAACAGAAAATATGAAACAGATATAATCTCTTTAAATTTACTAATATCATCTTCAAGAAAATAGGGAATGAATTGCAGAAAAATGTACAAAAGATAATTTGACCAAACAATAAAATTCTTTAAAAATTCAGTACAAATGATAACCTGTAGCTACATTTAAGAATCCAATACACAAAAAATAATTTCAGAAAATATGAAACGGTAGTAGAAAGTCACATTAGCAGATAGAAAAAAAATTTTCCAAATTAAGAACTGAAGAAAGAACAATCATTCTACAATTGTCTGGGCTGGCAATTTAGCTCAGTGGCTCTGCACCCACCTTGCAAGCACAAATTTGATCCCCAGTACATGAAAAAAAAATGTCCACCTTGTGGATAATTAGAATTATAAAAGGATATGATTTATGAAAGGGATTCACAGAAGTAATATCAAAGGTAGAAAGGACAGCAAATATTCTAAAACTGATGAAATACAGGAAATTTGAAATTCAAGAGAATCCAAGTTCTAAATTCTAACTAGATTAAAGAATAAAGCAGGGCAGGGGATTAAGCTCAGTGGTTCCGCTGCCTGCCTTGTAAACTCAACAACCAGAGTTTGATCACTGGTATCAAAAAAGAAAAAGAAAGCAAAGAGAATTCTATAAGGATATTTTTCCTTCATATGAAAATATTAATTATGTATCAAGCTAGAAGAATATATTTGAATATAATTAAGCACTGAAAGCCACAACATAAATTGATCTCTTGCAATGATTATACTTAGAATATGTATTTGTGAAAATGATACACTGATTCTAAAATTTTTGTGCAACACAACAATCTCAACCAAGTTAAGTTCAGCTTTAAGAAAAATTGCTTGCCTTATATTATGAGGTAACATGACACAGAGGTATGTACACTATTTGAAAGACTATGATTCAACAGATAAATGGACCAATGGAATATAAGAATTCTCAAATCCACACATAGAACGATCACTTGAATTTTAACAAAGGCTTTGGCAGTGGGAAAATGGTATTATTTTTCCATGCCAACATTGGAGTCTGGGACTGTGACCTAAGAGATCAGTATGACATCCGGTCATGTCTGGATTCAGAACACAGGATGCAGAGAGCACTTCAGGATGTCTCAACCCCAAGGGAAGGCAACACATCAAAGCAGGTCCCTTGAACTTCTTACAGGATCATGTTCTCCAGGACATTCCTATATTGAGCCAACAAAGATTTGGTACTTTCTGTGACCAGGATATGAAAGGCTGCACCAAACCAGCCATCTCAAATTGCACACAGTGTTCATCCAACATCCAAAAAATCTTAAGTCTAAATTTATTGGACTTGGCTGATGGATCACTGTCAGCAAACCTACCTCGAGTTAGAAAGAGAGGCTGAAGGAAGGAAAAATGCCCCAAATTTTTCACAAACCAATCCTCAGTTCTGCTGGATCAATTGACCACCTGCGTATGAAAATTAATATTGACATACTAGTCACAATTAAAATATTCCATGAAAATAAATGTTCTTATCTAAATTTTCTTAATTACAGAAATTAATGAATGTAATAATGCAGAGTAATATTTCTTATTATGAAAGCATTATATATTCGTTTTAGAAAATTTATTTCATTATATTTAACAAGCATAAAAATACTTTTTATTCTTAATTATTTAGTTGAGTAAAAGTACAAGCTGATTTTTAAAGTAGAATGAATTAAACCACAGCTAATGATGACAGGAAAATATTTAGTGTTGGTGATTTTATGACAAATATCTGATACTGGGCATATTAGTTTACTAATGTTGCCCATTTAGAAATATGAGTGGAAACATTTAATATTAGTATTAAGATACAGTTTACAATGACTAAATTTTCTTAGCAAAGGAAATAGCCACTCTAGTGTAGCTTTAGTTTATTTACCATTGTATGTTAGTGATTATTCTGACTTCCCATGTCTATTTTTCTGAACCTATTTTATTTCATTTACAAGAATCTTTTCTAAATTTCCAGCTTCTGCTACAAATTTTTTAAAATGTAAATATTTTAAAAAATGTAAATACTTCAGAATTCTGTAAAGACATTTTAAGAAAAATATTGGTGTGAAAAAAGTAAGCATCAAATATTTACCAAAACCTTAACAAATGGTCATTAACCCTTTAACAAGTATGCATATAATCTGTATACTTTTCTATACGTATAAATAAAAAATATCTGTACATAATTATTCCAGTGATTCTAATTAAATAATTTTTCTTCTCTAAATTCTCTCCTAGATTACATAATTAATGTCTGTAATAATGCAAAGTAATATTTCCTGATTATGAAAGCATTATACATTCATTGTAGAAAATTAACACTTTAAGTTTATTCCCTGATTACTTTATTATGGTAGCAACAGGAAACTAATTCACAGGTTGATTCTGACTTTCTGTTTTACTGGAGTCAGTTTTTGTAGTCTGTGTCTTTCTAAGAAGTTCATTCATTTCCTCTGGATTCAGTTAGTTAGAATATAATGGATCATGTAACTCTGTATAATCACTATTATTTGTTTAATATCAATATTAATATTTCCCCTTTTTCATTTATGATTTTTATAATTTGAAAGTTTTGCTCTTCCTAGGCCAATTAGCTTAAAATTTGTCAGTGTTTTGATCTTTCATTGATTTTCTCCAATTCTCATTATTTCTTTTCTAACACTTTTTTTGGATTTAATGTTTTATTTCTTACTATTTTTATTATATTTAATTTTAATTTATTCTTGCATTTTGCTGTGCTTGGAATCAAGCCCAAGGTTTTGTACATGCTAGTAAGTATTCTATCACTAAGCTACATTCTCAAACTTCTTTCTGGTTTTTAAAGTAAAATATATTTTCCACATGAAATACTTTTAAAGATATATTTTATGTATGGTTCTTTCATTTTCATTCCATCTTATTCCAATATCTGATTTGTGATTTATTATTGTCTCACTGGTCACTTGGGACTATGTCTATTTTTCACATATTCATAGAAAAATCTTCTTAATATCTTAGGTGAAATGTTAACTATTTGAGAAGTTTTACCCGATCTATCTAGATCAGGTTAATGGAACCCTGGTTATTCTGTCATAACAATTTTGTGTTTCCTTCATAAAATCCACCCAACTGTTGACTATATATAACTATTGATTATTTTAGTAGATCTGCTGTTTAACAAAAATACCACTTACCGGATGACTAAAACAATACAAGTTTACTTTTTCAAAGTCGTTGATGCTAGAAGTCCTAGATAAAGAAATGGGCAGTGTTGGTTCTTTCTGAGAACCTTAAAGAAGGAACTGTTCCAATTCTCTTTCCTTGTTTTCTAGACAGATATAGTCTTCCTGTGTCCTCACATCATTTTCCCTGTGTGGAAATCTCATTTTCCCTTGAAGGTACCAGCCATGAGAAGGTAGAACCCACCTTAATGATTTTATTTCAACTTAACTAAGTTTTTAAAGACGCTGTCCCCAAATACGGTCACATTCTGAGATATTTCTAGGACTTCAATATGTGAATTTTGTGAGGGGGTTAGAAGACACAACTCAGCTATAATGTTTAGTTCTGTCTCTACCATGAAATCATAAGATCTATACATACCATTGCTATCAAAATCAATGCTGTGTTGAGGTCATAGCACTTTAGGAAATCTTGAAAAATATTTGACATAAATGAACATTTTCCAATTTAAGTATTCTCTTGAAGACAGACCCACATAAGTGATTAAGAGATAATTACAAGTACTCTGCTGGGAAATTCATGTGTAAAACATTAGAGATTTTCATTAATATATAGGAATTTATCAGAGGAGAAATCCTGGAAGTCACTTTTGCCTGCCAAAGTTTAATGGTGACCCTTGTTATCAGTGTCTATGACTTAGTTCCCTAATTAGCTTAACCTTGAAAATGGCTGCATGAAGTTGTTATTATAACTTTTTAATAATTATATTATTTAATTGGTTTTGTTTTTCACTTCTATTATAGTTACAACCCTTTTATTTTCTATTTTAAGAAGCAAATCTCAGGAAAACTAGACTAATTCCAAATAGTCTTGTGGCAAAGCAGTTATAAATGGAAACTCTGGAGTTGATCTGTCTGGATTCAAACACCTGGGCCGTTGCATGCTGGTTGTATTATTGGAAGCAACTTTTTAAATCTCTATGTGACTTATGTCTACTGGAGAAATGAGAAAAATAATAACATAGCTGTGAGAATTCAGGGTTTAAGGGAATCAGAAGTATGCTCCAGCAAAACAGACACTAGGAATGTCAATTACAGAGTTTGTAGGGTAAGTAGGAGAGGTAGGGGACAGGTAAGGAGAAAAGAAAAAATAAGAAAAAAAAAAAAAAAGAATGTGTGCTCCTTGTTGTGATGGTAAAGAAGATGAAACCATCAGAAAAGTCACAGGAGAGATTCATGGAAACAAGATCATTACACTGACAGGTCCTAGAGACAGGTGACACAGCACACCATGCAGGGCCACCTGAGAAGCACCAGCATCAACCAAGAGGCAGAAGGTGTAGCAACAATGAGGAGGGGGCATCTGGGCTATGGCTTTCATCAGATTTAGCAAGAGAGTCCCAGCAACATACAGTAAACATTTTATTACTGAATAATATGAATCGTTCTAGTGCTTTCAAAACTGTAAAAGTGGACTCGAGTTGCCTGGTAGCTGCTCTGGGGATTACCAACTCAGAGGAATGCTATCTCCTGAAGTGTACAGGCTGGAAGAAGATAGTATGCTTCAGGATTGCTTAGTTTCCATCAAAAGCGTGCGCGCTGTTGAGCTCTTTGTTATCTCTAAGAATTTGGTAGTCTGAAAGGGACTAATCTTTCCTCGGACAGAAATTTATGATGCGTATATATTGGATATGTATTATATGTATACATTTGCAGATAAACTCATAATGATATATGATGGAATACACCCTGTAAAAAAGAGAAAATGTTAAAATACAAGTAACACATGGGGCCAGGGATTTACCTCAGTGGCATCACGCCTGCCTCAAAAGCACAAGGTCCTGAGTTTGATCCCTAGAAACCAAAAGAAGAAAGAAAAAATATATAAGTATTACAAAAGCAATTATATGATATAATGCTTGATTCTTTCATATATCTGGAAAACATCATTGTATTTCAATTACTCTCAGGACATTACTACCCAATGTTAAACAATAAAAGTAGATATATCACTTTAAATTGCCTAATACTAACATTAAGAGAGAAGGAATGAACAAGTAAACATTGTGAAACTACATTTTATTTATCAAACTATATCCAAAGTATTTTAATATCATCAAGTTTAAAAAGCATTAATATGATATTTTATATCCCTTTTCCAATTTAAACATTTCAATAGCCAAAGTGATCAGGGGCTATTATACAAGACAGTCCATTTCTAAGGATTTGTATGATACCCTTTAGAAGCTGTCTTTCCCCTAGATCTTCTTGAATTTTTTTTCCAAAAAAATCTGTCTACATGGTCCTTCTTCATGCTTTACAAGGTTCTTGGAGCTGTGATTGAGAGGAAAAAAATAGCTTTCTGATAGAGCAGGCAAGACATTCTGAAAGGACTTTCATTGGTCCATTACAGATTACTCGTCTATGATGAAACAATTACTTTGAGGGGCAACTGAAAAACTCATTCCTTGCTGTTTGGCATGTAAATTGTGGTATTTTTTATTGAAGCTGAACTCATGTTTCACTTATATTCAAGAAATTTGATTTCCAACGAAATGTTTCCCAAAAGACAGGGACAAATATACTGGTAGGAGGGCTATTAATAATGTCCTTATAAAAAATAATGGTCTTACGACGCTAAATTTTATGTCACATCAGAGTGGCTCTAGTGCCTACTATTGTAGTCAAACAATCTACCTGTTGCTGTGAAAAAAGCAGTTTTCAATGTGTTTAATATCTATAATCAGTTGAATTTAAGTAAAAGGATTAACCTTGATAACTGGGCAGTAATTCAAACAATAAGTAAAAGACCTTAAAAATAAAAATTGAGGTTTCCTAATGCAGAGAATTCAATCTCAATTTTTTACTTATCAGTCTTTCCTAATTTTTCAGGCTACTTCTCTGACCAGTAGATTTCAAATTTGTCAGCCCCACAAATTGTGAGTACTAATTCTTGAAAATTGCAAATGCACACACATACACACATACACAAACAAACATACTTAACACCATTGGTTCCATTTCTCAGGAAAACTCTAATTCTAAAGTAAGCTGCTAACTAAATAATCTGTTACATTAAAACCGTGGAAATCAATAAGTGCTGTAAAAGACTGAACTAATGCTAGTACAATAATTTCACAAACACGATGTATGAAAGCAATAAGCTAAAAACCTAGATAGCTAAATTAGGTAGAAATTTTATAGGCAGTCACACAGAGCTGGGCCCTTTAGGGAGTTAGTACAAAAGATAAAAACACATCAAAAGTGTGACTAGAGGCACTTCTAAAAAAGAGTACATCACAATGTCCAGATTTATACAGTTCCCTATGATAAAAGAAAATTTGAGATTATTGTTAATACCACTTTAAGGTTTTCCCATATAAATAAATCATTATCTCATTAGCAGTGGGCCACACTTTCCCACCTACTAAGACTAATACTAAGACCACTAAGACTAAAACTAAAGACAAGACTAAGGCTATAATGCTGTCATCATATGCCCTTGCTAGTATTGGATCAATATTAGACAAGCAGCTACATATGTAATCTTATTGGTTGATTATAGTTTTGAAACATGTTTTACCCACTACTTATGAATTTGCTCTATTTTCTTCTCAGAGAACTGGGCTCATTGGCAATTTATTCAGGACCTCTCCTGTCTCTTAAGAGCTATTCCTATTTCCCATTCTTATTCCCCAATAAATTTTCCTACTCTTAACCTCTGTTTCTTAAAATTCATTCTTTAACTTCAGGGAACATGCACTCAGCATATCTGACACCTAATAGGCTGAAAGTTTCATATTTTCCCCTGTATCATCAAGACAGAAAAACACTAATTTCTCTGTGCTTTGACTTTTGCAAATTTCTAAAGATCTAAGAAAAATACTGTAGTTTATTAAACCAGGACATTGGTTTTCTCTGAAGTGAAGCAGCACAGACTGGGCCCTCAAAGTTGGTCCTATTCTACTACTTGATCTTGAATGATTTTTACAGTGATGAATTCACTTTTCGATATTGATTGAATTGAAGCCGTATAATTGGCTCTTTCTGTCTCTATCTCTGTTGGGCGCATTGGTGTAGTTATGATATTGTAGTATGAATGTGAGTTTCCCTGATGCCTAATAAAGTTGTGTAATACACACACAAAAAAAACTATTGTTGTATTTCTGCAGATCTGGGAATTTGAGAATAAATTGTGCTGAAAACAGGGCTTTGGACTAAATGCAAGACTTTGTAAGAGAATTTACAATTACAAGATAGTAAGAACTCCAGAAAGTTATTTATTGGTGTGCTTTTACATTTCAAGGCAGAATAAGGCCCAAGGTCTTAGAGATAAGTTTAGATCCTAAAATCCCCCAAACCAAGAGTTCATCTTCCTTTGTGGACAGATTTATTTGCATAATAAAAGATTAGAGTGTATAACTCAGGCCCAGTGGCTCTGGCCTGTGATTTAAACTATTAGAAAACTAAGGTAGGAGAATCACAAGTTCCATGCTGTCCTAGGAAATTTAGGAAGATACTGTCAAAAAAAAAAAAAAAAAAAAAAA